GCGTGGTTAGGGCTTAAGATCCAGGCTTGGACGAGCACGAAAGACTACTTGGAATACTGTCAAGACCACCTCGTACGTCAGCTCATCAAGTCAAAAAAAAAACGGAAGCAGTCTTGTGCTTCGTATATCCTAATGGTATCACGAACCACGACGAGTCTCCGGTTCTTGACCTTGAACTGTACCAGTACTGACTATCTAGCTCAGAACGACCTAGCAGGGGCATTGCGGCAAGAATGCCAGCTGGCGATCAAAGTCGGGCTCCCAAAACCACCTCTAACCCACTTCAAGCGTGCAACCGGTGTGAACTCGTTGCCATGGCAAGACCTCCTGCGCAAGCAACAATCAGCCATCGCAGAGAACACCGGAGAAGGCATGCACACTTTGATACTAATCTGGATATCATATTTTGTTTTTTTGGTCACGGCCATCACTATGGGAAGAATAGCATGGGCCAAGCTGTCTACTCTGCTCATAAATGACGTATGGTGGAAACTCCAGGCTAGCTCGTCCTTCACTTTGGTCGCCTTAGCATTGAGCTCTGCATCGGCTATGATATTTGGATTAATCTCATTATACCATGCATTCACTGGCATCCTCCGAGTGAAATATGCCCACAGTCAAGCAGAAGGTGCCTATACACGATACGCTACCAGCCTCCCCGTACGTAAACGTCCGGCTTGTTCATATGTCCTTGATAAAACGCTGATCCTGCAGACGTCTTTCCTCTCTACACAGGACGTAGAGACAATCTTCGCCCGGCTTTCGCTCCTTAGTCTGATCTCAGCCGTTTTAGTCGCCGCAGCATTGGCAGTCTCAATTGCGGCTTTCTGCGACATATTTCGAATATGCAATCGGCGTCGATTTCGCCGTCGGGGGATCATCTTTGATTACTCACTATTGTGCTATGTTGGGGGTCTCACGTTTCCCATATTGTCAGTGTATGCAGTTTATAAGTTCAAGGAAAAGGCACTCTAGTGGAGTTTATAGGCGCGACATATATCAAAATCCTCAGTTTCAGCGTGGCGAAGAAAGACTTACCAACTGTTTATGGATTTAGTCCTGTAAGAGGGCGGCCCTCAGATGATCAAAGTATTTTGAGCACTTTCGAGGGTACGCCACACAGTCTACAGGTCATCGTCGTCCTTTTCAACGCAGTGACCTACTTTAAGCTTTTACTATTGTCAATCATTCACTTGATCTTAAGGTGCGGTCGAATATTACAATTTGGACTAGGTTCTCAGCCGCTCATAGATATTGTCTCCATCCTCGGTTACCTGCATTCTAAGGGTACCTAAAGCATCAGGGGAAATGCCTTCGCGAATGACCTAGTTCGCGAAAATCTCGCAACGGTCGAGAACCTTGAAAAAAGGATCTTTGTGCAAAGGAGACAAGGTCTTTCGAAAGATTTCGCGCATTAAAAACAAGTCGTTCAGTGACGTACTAGTGATAGTCAACCACGCTTTGGCGATGATCAAGGCGGATAACTCTACCATCTAGTGCTACTGGCCAGAGGCCCCCCAACGCGATGTTTGACTTGGCCCATACAAGAACCATTCAAGAGCAGGCATGGCAAGAGCAAACTGCGATGCGTTCATTGTGGCAGTGCAGAGCGCTTAATTCTCAATCCTGACGAGGCTGAAACCAAACAGATCGTATTTTCCAGATAAAGGCAGCTGCGTCACCCACTCTAGGTTCGAGTACTGAATCATCCACATTGTCTTGAATGGGCCATTTCTGCATGCTGTTGAAATGTCGTATGCCGTATCTTCAGTGCCGCAGGTTCCTGCCCCAGGGCAGCCTCCACTACCACCCGTTCCTGCCTCGCAGCAGCAACTTCCAAATCAATCGAACGTAGAATCTCAATCTAATACTTCAACAACAATAGCTATTCGACGCCCATTACTCTTCGCTTGCAAATGGGCCTGGGAATCCTTAGCTAAAGCGTCGAAGTCCTTCAACAAAGTCACAGTCACCATCGGTCTCATCCTCGCAGTTTTATTTGGCTCAATGACATGGCTTGGCCTCAAGTTGCAAGTCTGGACGAGCAGGAAAGATTACTTGGAGTATTGTCACGAGAACATTGTACGTGCATGTTCATTGCTTCCTGAGTTGCCAAGCGGGTCTTCAGCATGCTAATGGCCTACGACAGAGCGAATTATCAGGTGCAATGCTCCGAGATTGCCAGTCAGCCATCACAGCTGGGCTCCCCAGGCCCCATCTATCACACATCAAGCGCGCAGCAACAGTACTGGCGTCTTCTTTCGAACAACACATCTACCCAACACCGCTCGTTAGAGCATCCGCACACGTCAAAGCGGGCAATTACAAAGAAGCTATCGTAATCATCATACTTTCGTCTACTCTCTGGACTCTTATATTTCTCCCTCTTTCCCTCTTAGGTAAAGCACTCTTTGTCAAAATAAACCGCTTCAGAGCTCGTGGGCAACCTCGTCGGATGTGGGATTACGAGATATTTGAGCTACCCGCGACCTATTCGGACAAAACTGGATGGACGCCGGATTCATCCTTCAGACACAGAGATTTCATGCTTACTTTGAACAAAACGACAGAACGAAGGCGACCCTATAATTATGAGTAGGTCTGATAGTAGTCTCGGTCTTTCTGTTCTTTCTGTAGTACTTATACATACGTGTCAAATAAGCTTAGACAGGATTGCTACAACAACTAGTCGTTAGAAAGCTTTACAAGTACCCACTGCGGGAGATCAATCCACATTTTGGTATTTTGAGAGTTCATCACGTGTCAGTTTATGTGCAAGTGTAACTGATGCTAATGTCCTCAAATCATTAGAAAAAGGTTCTACGTTCTAAGCCTTTCATACATCAATATTCCTATCATCCTCTACCTTCCTTTTATAGAACATATGTGACAGTGATATAGAGTCTATTTGCTAGGTCGACCTTTTGCTCCCTCACAACCTGACGCATTAAGGGAACGCCTTAGCGAAAACCCTGTTCCGTGAGCCATCTCTCGATCGTTACTTGGAGGCGTCCTACGCACTGTTTATGTTCGCCTACGCAAGAACTTTTCCATGATAGAGGAATGTAAGAGTGGACAGTGAGCTGGTTGTCACAGCAGTGCCAAGTGCCTATTCCCAATTCTGACGAGGCTGAAACAAATAGGTAGCCTTCCCATCATGACAACCATCTTACCTCTACACGTTGGGTTCCAGAGCTTGAATCAAGAACGCTCAACTGAGAAACACTGCATACAATGTCCACGATTCCGCTCACCGTTGCCCAACAGCAACCGGCGCCGACATCTATTCTTCCGCCCCCGGCTCCACAAGTTTCCCCTTACCCCGCTGTGACCTCAAGCCCGCTGCCACAACAACAACCACTACCACCATCACAACAATCTGGATCTACAGGTGCTCTTACACCTCCGAGTCCACAGGCATCCTCTGTCCATACTGTGCTCTCAAGCCCTCAACCACTACCACATAACCAACTACGACAGCATACCATCCTATCACCGTTACTCAATGCTTGCAAGTGGAGCGGCAAAAAAACGCTACAAGTGCTAAGGTCATTTAACAAATTCACCATCATCTGTAGCCTGATTCTCGCAACAATATTCGGGTCTGCCGCATGGTATGGACTTCGGATCCAGACGTGGACGAGTTTGAAAGACTACTTAGAGTACTGCCGAGATAGCATGGTGTGTATTCATCGCTTCTTATCGAATCAGCGCCTAGTCTCGTCAATTTAGAGGAGCCATGGCAATTCTTTTGATAGTGGGTGGCTGGTACTGATCATTGATTAGAACGACCTGACGGGGACTTCACTCCAAGATTGCCGAAGCGCAATGAAGACTGGGCTGCCGAAGCCACCTCTATCCAACTTTAAGCGCGCAGCCGCAATGCTCTTAAAACCTCGAACAATACCGCCAGATACTTCATCGTCTAAAGACATGGCATTGTTCATGCTCATCCAATATCTTGTCACTTTGCTATTTGTTTCCTGGTCATACGACATGTTTGTAGTCACATTCAGCGCATTCAAGATTGCCGAATCGTACTTGAAGTCTTTCCTTTCTCTAGAACCGAACCAAAGAACAGCTTTCAAAATTTTGAAGAACTCTATCCAGAGAACTTTGGTCGTGTTTTTGGCTATGATATACGCAATCGCATTCACATTCGTCTTCATAGTCCGTTTCGTAGTCTTTCTGATATTGGGACGACCTGTGCAGCGTGTGGGATGGTCTGCACAGCCCGGTGATCTATTTGAGATCTATCGAAGAATGTTCTCCTGAATTGTTTCAGGCGTCTTTGACTTGATGGTAGACCTAGATTCATTCTCATCGCGGCCGGGCTCCCCCCGGGAATGATAGTGCTCACCTTTGGCGCCTGCGGAACTGTAGTAAACGCTCGACAGTGCTACGACATGGCTGCAATAGACCAATTCAATGTTACGCAAATCCAACCGTACGTAGCCCTTTCCTTAACACTCCAAATTTCATCTAGCTAAATCCTGTCTCCGGAGCCTTAGTATTATCAATTTGCGCTCATGAAATGGACGTGCACAGACAAGCACTTCAAGGAATCTATACTTTCTTAATAAAAAAAAAAGAAAATAAAACATGGGGCTCACGTGCCGTGGTGGCAGTTAGTATAGCAGTATATATATACACTAAACAGTATTCTCGTTACCATAAAGACAAGAGCTGGTGACACAAGCGTGTGCTGCTTGTAGATTCAAAATTCAATTACTTCGGAGAAACAATTACACAATCTGCAGTCCGTGCCATTTCTTCAGAAGCGGGAACCTACTTCATACCCTTACCCCAAATATGCTAGCAACCGCTGCAAGTTCCCTCTCGATCTCTTGTGACACACAAATCTCGCCGCACCCTCATCTCCACGACAAACATATACAAACGCTTCTCAACACCCCGCTGGTTTGCTTCGACCTCCCCAGCACAGTTTCTCGCTATATATTTAGTTCATTATGCCACTGAGTTGTATCGATCGAATGCAGACCTTCATAGTCCAGAGGTTAGGATATCTGATTTTCACACGCTTTGAAATCTCAGAAGACCCGAGTTCGAATCTCGGTGAGGGTGAACGCCCCTATACATTTCTTTTTGCAATTTTTTACTCATGTGGTAGGTATGTAGCATTTTGGTGTCCTTTATTTTACATAGAGGCACCAGCTACTAGGTGAGAAGGTCAGACATTTGGGTAGTAAGCAGCAGCTCATGTTTACGAATTTGCCTGTCGGGCTTTCATGGGATTTGAAAGTATAAATATGCACGCGTCCGTCTCGTAGGTAAAAGTACAACACTCCGGTATATATAGCTATGCTAAAAACTATGAGACCAAGAGTCATGGTATCGCTCTTTTGATGCCAGTAAACTAGCATTTCATACTTCGCCTTGGATCATTTGCTCTACATATTTGGGTCCAACGGGGGCATTACAAAGCCCTCAAGAATTTAAAAATCGACCCTGCGATCGAGATGCTAGTTTGCGAGCGCCCGTCTATTTCCTAGGAGATCGAAGGCTTCGGAATGATATGACCGGACGTTGTAATAGCCTATATGATCTGCATCGAATATGCACTGAGAAGTGGACAGAATGGCAATCGTAAAGTGGTGCATGTCGCTCCATAACATATTTCAGATGTTATTGTTCTTAAAACGCAGTGTCAAAACGAACATGTGGCAGATCAAAATCGCCAAAGCGATAGTCCATACTCTAGCTTGAGAGCCGATCCCCAATTCCTCCACAGGCTATCCCCTCATAGGCACTACAAGACAACGAGCCAAAAATGTTAATTCACGCACCACACGCCCTATGCCTCCACGCAAAGCTCCCTCCATCCGTTTCTCCTCCACCACTTCCCCGTCCCATCCCATGCTCAAACTCCCAACCCCCGATCCCGCCCCACACATACCTATCATCACAGCCAACGCATCACTACCACCCACATCACGCACTTTCTACATACCACCTTCCCCTCATCCCAAAAGCACACCGATCTCCCATCTCCCACGCAACCTCTCCACTGCCCGCCTACCCGCTGCAACCGCGGAAAACCCGGCAACCCCCTCGCATGCGCCAAGCCCCCGCAGTTGCACTTGCCCAAGACAGCGAAATCGATATTTTCAAAAAGGGTGCACGCAGCTGCGCGTCAGCCAAAAGCTCCCATCCTCTAGCCGGGGGGGGGGAGAACAACGAAGAACCAAACAGACCAAGACGAAACGAAACGAAACGAAACAGCCGTGGCTGTGCGTGGCGTAGCGCGGCATGCCTGAGGCACTCCCTATACGCGTGTGCGCGTACGGTCGTCTTAGCGCTCAGCGTATAGAGGGGGCTAGATGTCGTGTTCGGGCGGGCCTAATCTTAGTCGGACCTGGGATAAAGTGCCTTCGTAAGATGTCTCTGCAAGGAAGCGTGAATCTGCTCGAAACAAGGCGTGAAGGAACCAGGGATCCATCGTTCGACGCTGCTCTTGGCATATTGCTTGTGAATCAGATCTGCGGATCAGACAGCGGGAAGGGGACACAACAGATACCCATGCCAAAATTGCGAGAAAACGTCAGGATAGTGGAGGGATCTTCGACGATAGATGATGACTGATGAAACGTGAGAGACAATGACAGCAGAGAGCCGCGACGCCGCGCTAGTACATGGGGGATATTCGACCATCGCTATGCCAACAAATCAAAAAAAAAAAAAAAGGCCGCAGGACAAAAAAAAAACCAAAAACACATCAGTTCACCCAAAACTTTCCATCCTCAATAAGAAAAACAATAAACAATTGGATGGGCCTAACATCCGCTCACCGATGTGGTGCATGTCGCGACTCAGGCGGAAACCCCAGGCGCCGATCCCAGTCCACGTCATGGCAGATCCTCCGCACGAGCCCGCGGCCTCTTCGAAATTGCCATTTTCCCATATCCAACCCCCGTCCACGCAAACCCAAAAAAACCCATGCCAAACCTGCGACATAACCACGCCGGCCAATGAGACAGTTCGATGCAGCAATTCCCCCACTCGGTCCCAGCTCGGAGATTGATGCATCTAGACGTAAACGGTATAATTTCCTACACGTGATCGAAGGACATGCCGTATGTGTGCCAGCGTCCCGACGCCGCTGTTACGAAAGGATACGAGGGTCGTATTGATAAGGCTCGGGTCTGTTGGACCGAAGGGAAGGGAGGGGACTCGTGGTTTGAAACATGTCTTAATATGTCAGCAATTGTCGACCTCGGAGATGCACCGATTGCGCCAGAGAAGACGGGGGCCCTGCGTACGGCCAAGCAGATCCGGCTCGTTGGACCGGCGGCTGCACGAGAAGGGGAGGCGTACGCGACAGCTGAAAGTATGGGAACTGCCGCGAGTGGCATTCGACGTTTGGGAGCGAAGGATCGGGTACAGTGTACTGCCCGATTCGGGAGGCCGTAAACTTCGCGTAGTCGACGACTTACCTAGGGGATCCCTGCTCTCCTAGTTGATATCCACCGCAACTCTGCTCTCGTTCGGCCGTGTAGGATGGTCGCTTGACGCTGTGACGGATAGAGCGGAAGGTTTTCAGGCATTGATTTCTCCGGTGCCTTCGCAGACATGGCAGGTCTGCGTGCCTGAGTTCTTGCACTGTGAACATCCGCTACCGCCGCAAGACTCGCACTTGGTCGTACCGTTTCCACGGCAGGTCGGACACTGCATAGCAGCAGGAGGGTATGGAGAGCAGCAGCCGTTGCAGAGTCCGAGGTAGACGGAGAAGTGAAGATTCGAGTGTCGAAGCCGCTGGTCAACAGGCCGATGGAAACAGAGGGCGGAGAAGAAGCGAAGTGAAGTGGAAGGAGTGCCCGTGGTGTGTTGGGATCGGAACAGGAAGGCCTGCGCCAGCCGGCGGCTTCCAAAGCCTTATATATATATGTATATATATATCGTCGGCCGACATAGGCTGTAGGACTCCTGTTGGACGAGGACCCTGAAATAGTGAAGCGCAGCCAGCTCCAGGGCTCAGCCACGAGAAAGACAGCAGAGCACCGGCCACGGCATGGGCCGCTCCTCTCCCTCGCGGCACCTGTTGCCTTGCGGTGAATTGGAGCTGGCAGGCAGCCAATGGCGAGGGGGTCGGAGATTACTTCCTGCCGCTGAAGCGCACGAGACAGGTAGACGATGGGAATGACGAGACGAGAGGGCGGCCGGGCCGCGTCTACAGGCGCGCCCGCGGTGGATGGGTGCGGTTGGCTCCACTGCCGCCGTGGTGCGGGCGATCGTCGCAGCCCTGGAGGCCATCGGCGGGGAGAGGGTGGGATTTCGTCGTCCGTTGTCAGGCGACAGACGGTACCGAGGGGCTCGCCGTGCCTGAATGTGCCTCGAAACGTCCGGAGCAATCGTATCCGCATCTTCAGCCATCTAGCGCGCTGGCCGTCGAGTTAGCGGGCTAGCGTCCCTGGCGCTCCTGGCCACCACACAGCGTCACTGGAGGCCTGCCGCCGTGCCCTTTTGCTCCTCGCGGTCCCTCGCCCTGCCCCCCGGCTCGACGACGACGCAGCGGCTAGCCCGAGCGAAGTCGCCGAGTAAGCCCAGCGTCGGCCAGCCAGTCGCCGCCCCACGCTCCCGCAGCACTGGATAAAAGCATATCGTGAGAGGCGGAACGACGACTCTGCGTAATGGCTACCTGATAAGGCAAGCACACACGTGGCAGCTGCATGAGCGTTTGGGGCGAGCCGGAGTGGTGGTGTGCAGGGCTGAAGGCTGATTCGGCCGCCGGCCTGTCAGAAGAATACTCCAGAACAGGGCCTTCGTGATCCTTTGCCCTTCTCGCTGGATGCTCCCGTTCCATGTATAACGCAGGCATGCGGGAGGGGTCTGGGATGCTCGCTGACATTTGCGGTGCTTGGCGCGTCGTCGGCATCGAACTGATATGACGTGAACCCAGGACACCGTCAGCCTGGGGCCTTCGTCCATGGCCGCCTGCTCATACACCACCACCACGCGTGCACGCCGTGTCGTACACAGATCGTCATAGACCATCAGGCGAATCCTTCGGGGTGTTAGTGTGCTTCAGGGGGTGAATGTACGTTGCGTTCAGAGCCAGCCGCGATAGCCCACGGCCGTACGCGTAGAAAACCTAGCCGACGGAAGGAATACCAAACAATGTAGACTAATCGTTAGTGTCGAAGATGAAAGGATCCGCATCCCGGACAGGCACAACATCTCCTCTAGCAATGCGCACACAACCAGACGAGGCCGCAGGCCCTGAAACCTGCTTTGCATAGTGACGGAAGCGTCCGCGTGAGCACTGGGACAAGGGTTGCCGCTATCGAAACCATCACTCTATGACCCTATCACCACCATCGTGCATTACCTGATGCGGCAGGTGCCCTCCTTGTATGGAATATATTGCACATGTGCGGCCCAGAACCCGCGGCCTAGAACCCGCCCGTAAACTTCCGAGCTCGCCTTTGCGGACATTTGCTGCTACGCCTTCGTCCCTGGTATGAATCTCGCTAATATTCGTCCGCGCTGCCAAAGTAAGCTTCAAGGGGTGTGAGTTTCGTGTTGATCTGGCAAGGCCTGCAAGGCTTATAAATTATAGCGTATATGATATCTGAAGACATGTGCAGAGGAAAATGAGGCGCCAGCAACAGGCGCCAATTTTGAGAGTACGTATTCACGGGGTTATCATAATACCTGGTGGCCCCACGTCATGATCGGTGTATGCGCGGGTTTCATGCTGGTTGAAGAGAGAGAGAGATACGGTGCCTTAGTGGTGTACTCGAGTGCGTATGCTTGCCGCCTATTCGACAAGGCCCCTCGGTACTTACAATTTCGCCATGAGCCGTGAGGTTAGACTCGGCCTTTCCAAAGCAGCGGGACCATCGTAAATGTCTCTTTCGACGGCCCGCGTATTGATCTGGTCACACGAAGGTTAATACCTCATCTTCCTCAACCCGAAAATCTGGCGTGACGTACGTGTTGCAGCCCCAATTGATCCACCCTCTCTACACCCAATAGCCGCATGCAGGTCTCAGTCTCGGCTTTGAGGACTATAGAATCGGTCAGCAAAGGAATATACGCAGGCCGGTGAGGCTCAGGAGCGGAAC